TGGCAACTGTTACTCTTGGGTCGGAACTTACATGTGTGGAAGTAAATCGCATAGGGATCTTATTAAGTCGGAATGAGAGAAATGCGTCGGTGTGCTGTTGTCGCGTTGCTGGTACGCCTTTCCCTATCAGGTTAAATCAAATCAAGATCGCAAACCGCTTATTTCTAAACGACTTTTTTTCGAAAATATAACTATAGATAAAATCATTAGATATGTTTCTGAGCATCTGAAATAGAATTATAAGGATATCGTTAGGGTAATCAATTATTTTTATTAGATTTTTTGATATCGATTCATTTTGAATTCAGAGTTCTAATAGCGCGACCACTGTCGAATACCAACTCGATTCCACATATTTTTAACAAAAATGCAAGTGTTTATAACTTTCACTAAAAATTTTCAAGCTCTGGGGAAAATAAAGTATCGCGAGACGTAATTAAATCGTGAAGCTGAACGCATGATGTACACCTTTCCCTAGAACTTTAGATACTGATGTGGTACCACAGATTATACAGATTATAAACTTTATTTTTTATTTATTGTTTTTCGTGGTTCCAATATTCGGAATCGGGCACTAGTTAGGTTACTAGTTATAGCACGCCCACTTATGGCCTCTAAAATTGTGCACAGCGCCTGACCGGCACAGTTATTAGAGAGATATCGGAAACCGAATAGCGTCATGCAGTATTTACGCGTACCTTATCATGGTTACGATATGCGCGAGTCAATTTTTAACGCAATACCCGCTAATAACGTTACCGCCTGACGTAATTTGTTTCTAAATAACGTTTAAAAATTTCTTAAATGGGCATGTGCGGGTATTTGACAACAGGGGCCGGCTGGCGAGATTTTTTATTTTAGGTTATGTTTGAATTGTTTTGAATTATTACTTTAGTTTTATTAGGTAATTTGATATTTAAGTAGCTGCTCATGTAAAGGAAATAACAGCTGGCCTTATTAACGTCCATGCAGGCTATTCGGTTTAGCGATATCTCTCTATTACGTTGTTTATTGTTATTTTACGCGAGTTCATTTTTGCGCACAGGAAATTTTACTCGTTTGCACATCGTCATAAAAAACAATTTTCGTGCCACGAATTAGGGACAAGGTTTTTATCTGTATACTTATAGGATACCTAATCTGTGCCCAGAGCAAGTTATTCATTTTAAAAAAGGGTAGATCTAAAACTACTACGGCTACTACTAGCTGTGGCAACACTGTCGTTACAACTTTTCCTGACGCTAGCTCGTACTTCACGGCCTTGAATTTTTACTCACAACGCGCGTAAAGAAGTTTCACTTAAAAATTTAAAAAGGTGGAATGCAGAAAATTAATTGTTTGTTTGTTAACATCGAAACGTAATTCATTTAAAAAAAAATTCAGAATTAAAAGTTATACATATTAAAAATCACTAAAATTGACGCTGGTGTCATGTCCTTTGTTTGGCACCAAAAAAAGCGTCCTATCGTTTTAAGATGTAAATTATTACATGTAAACTCTTACGTTTGCTCACAGAAAAAAATTCTCCATAAACCCATAATAAGACACTCACCGTGAACAACCCTACATAATTTAATAATTTAGAAAAAAAAACAAATTTCAATGATCGATTGGGTGTCAATTGTACGTCACTCGAGACGTCGTTTCTCGAACTATATGTACGGGGTGCCCCGGAAAGTGCGTAAACGCCGACAAAAGAACGCTAAATCAAACAATGCACAGCGTACTAGACAAGGATCTCCATCACCCACTGGATTGCATCCCAAATCCGAGTGTGCCTGTTGTTGGGCAGGAGAAAAAATACACCAGGTTTGTGCATATTTAATATCATCTACGTTTTCAACCCAACCCTGATGCCGTTTTTTCTTCTATTATATGATGATTATGTCGACATAAGAAGTCATTAGCTTTTTTCGTTTTCCTGTTATTACCGATTCTGAACCGTTCTAGAACTCTGCAGCGCATGCGCAAATGAAATAATGTCTTCATATTTCCTTCTGCGCATACGCATCACAGTTCTAGGACGGTTCAGAATCGGTAATAACAGGAAAACGAAAAAAGCTATTATCTTTGTTACATTTCCAAATATTTCTATTACCTTATCAAATACATATCCTTAGCAAATATACAGGGTGTTTCAAAAAACATGTGCCATCTCTCTTGGGGAGATTCCTCATGTAAAAATAAGATTTATTTTTCATATCAACATAGGTCTGATTCTGCTTTTTTTCGTAGCTACAGGGTGTTAAAGTCTTAATAATCTTTCGATTTATTATAATTTTCTTCCAAGTAGTTTTAGTGATTCGAATGAAATTTTGAGGGTACAAGTTACTATAAGTGCTACATATTTTAATGCTAAAAAAGTGTCGATCAATTCATCAGGGACGTGCATATGGGTTATCACTGGAATATACATATGTATAATGGATATATGTGCGCCACTGACTTTTTTCTTTTGAGCCAATTAAAAGTTATCTCTTAATATTTTGTCGAATTCGGCCCCCTTAAAATAAAAATAAAATTAATAAATTACTTATTATACGTAATTTATTATTCAATTTTATTACTACATATTAGTTATTATTACTATCAGTCAAACCTACAACAATTTCAAATAAAAAAATAATTGTATTTAAGATAATTACAAGAAAAACTAATTTTAAAAAGTTTTAACATCCTGTAACTCTAAAACTATGCATTTCCATACCCATCTTTATAGGAACTTCTTTTTCGAGTTTTTTTCATATTTTCTGATGAGGAATTAATAAGTACCTATTTAAAACATTCGGAAGTTAATGATATTATTTTTTTTAAAGGTTGCTATTTAGACTTGCACCAAGGCAAATTAATAAAATTGCGTTTATCTCATCGAGGAGACCGAAATCGGCAAAATATCAAGAGACAACTTTTAATCGGCATTAAACTGTTTATACTATTTCGCTAATAAGAAAAAAAATCAGGGGCATACATTCTTTTTTAGAAAAATATTCCAGTGATAACCCATGTGCACGTCCCTGGTGAATATGTCGACAACTTTTACCCTCAAAATTTCATTTGAAACGGTAAAGGTACTTGGAAGAAAGTTATAATAAATCGAAAAAATATTAAGACTTTTACACCCTGTAGCTACGAAATAAAGCAGAATCGGATCTATGTTGATAAGAAACATCAATCTTATTTTTACGTGAGAAATCTCCCCACGAGAGATGGCACATGTTTTTTGAAACACCCTGTATAGAGAAAAAAGGTGTTTTTTATAAACGACCAAAAATATACAATAATGGATTTGTTTTGACCCAACATATACAAGCTAAATGTAACGAAACCGTTTGTTTATTTACATTTTATATGATTACAGAGTTATTATTAGGTATTCATATTTCAAGAATTTTGACAATGTCATTGGAATAGTTTTGGGATCTTCATAAAAACAGAAAAAGCCCTTTAAATAAATAAATATCTCATTAAATACAAAATTATTTAGGAATTGCAAATTGTTTCTGTTGTAAATTCCACAAACCATGCAGATAAATTTTGTCAACATCCAAGTAATCATATTTTTTACATAAAAACATAGCAAAATAGAAACACTAAATCACCACAATACACCAAAACACTTTTACTTTTACACTGGACGCGCATTTCGCCAACCATGTTAGCATCATCAGCAGATGATTATAAACTAAAGTACAATCTACAAGTTGAGCGTTTATATACTCGCCCAGTGGGCACCGAGTAGGCGTGGCAAAATCTAGCCAACCGAGTCAGAGCCCACTGAGCGTAACAGTTAGATTTCCGCCACTAGAGTAGTAGGAACAAAGAACTTGAAGGAACTGGACCGTTGTCTCTGTTCATACTATCTTTACATTTATTAATTCTGATGCTTTCATATGCATCTAATTGCCTGTAATTTGAGACTTGTTTAATTAATTTTAAATTATTAAGATCTATACAATGTTCTTTATCAACAATATGTTCGGCAACGCAAGATTTATCCGGTCTACCATATCTTATCTGAGCTAAATGTTCTTTAAATCTAGTTAATATTGATCTTCTAGTTTGCCCAACATATTTCTGATTACAATCTTTAAAAGAAATTTCATAAATACCCGACCTTTCCAGTGGAGGTGTTTTATCCTTTGGATTACCTAATAATTGTTGTAATTTATTATTAGCACTATACACAAGTTTATAATTGACATTCTTAAAAATTCCTTTTAGACCACGGATAAACTCTATCAAACGGTATCGAAAAATATTTAGACGTATCTTTCTCCACTTGAAAAGTCGAATTTTCAGAAATGATTAACCTATACCTACGTTTTCTAATTAATTTATCAACTAGTGAAGGAGAATATCCATTACACTCAGCTACATTCCTAATGTAATCTCTTTCTATTTCATATCTTTCGTTGGAAAGTGGGAAACTAGCCATTTTATGTTCAACACTAAGATGTGATTCATTAGGAATATATCTGCGTGTGGTCGTATTTTTCCTATAGATATCAATTATATAGCGCGATATCAATCGCGCGTCCAGTGTAAAAGTAAAAGTGTTTTGGTGTATTGTGGTGATTTAGTGTTTTTATTTTGCTGTGTAACACCAAAGGTTCCAACCCTCAACTGTAATAAAAACATACGTAAGATGTAAACAAAACAAAAACTAAGAACTTAACTTGTAAATAAACAACTGTGTTGTCAAGTTTTTTGTCAAGAATTTTGAAAGTGACCTGCAGAGTGGTCCATTAGTGCGAGGAAGTCCAATATCGTCGTTGTTGACAAAAATATGAAATTTTTTTCATACGGATGTTGCCTTGTTTATAATGGTGCATATCCTAAAAAGTATTTTGTTGTATACAGGGCATTCCAAAATAAGTTAGTTTTAAATTATTTTAAATTGCACACTACCTCATATAGTTATAATATTTACCTGTCTAAGACTATGTAAAATATTGGACATATAGTTTTATGTTTATAAAAAATTATATTTCTTGTTTCAGAAGTCTCGTTATGCGGATGATGACATGCCCCCTCCCCCTTCACCTCCTATCCAATCAAAGGTCATCAACGCCACAGTTGTGGTGGATAACTTATCCAGACAAGGTTCTCTGGAAAGAGTGCCTTCTGGCAGAAGAAAGAGTGTTACAGAGAGAGGTGTACCTAATGAAGTATCCAAAGAAGTATCAGCATTAAAAACGGTAAGAATATTTGATTGACCATTAAATTAGAATAAATTTTTGAGGTGGCTATAGGCCTGTTCCACTGGGATATTCTCAGATTTATTGTGGTCCTCTTCTGATTTCTAGGTTACATTCTCTAATTCTATCCTTTTCAAAAAATTGGAGCTTAATACAAAAAATTGCACATTTCTTCTTCAGACAGATAAAATCTGCACAAGGCTTTGTACGTCAGCTACAGTTACATCAGCTTTAGATGACTGTTAAGCCTACATTGCCCTGTTAGTAGACCCACTACAGCTTTGCTAGTTTTTCTGGCAGTCTTTCTGTTTTTGCTTATCAAATCTGCCGTAAATTTGGCTATTTTCTACTATGAATTTTTGAATGTCTTCCCTGGTGAATATATCCACCATTCTAAAGATTTGTTGGTTTCCTACTATTTTGTGCCCATTTTTATGATTGCTATTGCAACTCCGAAGAAAAGTTCTGGCTTATAAATTCCATTGATTGTGCCCCTGTCTGTTTCTCCAATGGACACTCTGCTTTTCCCTGATCCAGAGTTTTAGTGCACTACGGGCCATACATTTGGGTATTCCCTGGAGTACTTGTTCTGGACCAAGATAGGACCTATGATCCTTGCCTAGCTAGCTGATCGGCTTTTTCGTTGCCTTGCATGCCGCTGTGGCCCTGCACGCAGAATAATTTAATTCTGTTCCTTCGTGCTAAAGCTTTCAAGATGTTTTAAATAACTATGATAATTCTGTAATTACTTACCATAGACCCTGTATAACATGTTGATCATACTCTATTTACGACACTTTCTAAAGTATTTTTAAAACCGTCTAAAGCAACAATTGTAAATCATTCCGCATTTTTGGTAAACATGTAAACAAGTAAACAAACCGAATCGATAAAATCCAATTCGTCTAAGTGCTAGAGAGTCGTCCTAGATTTTAAACAATAAATCACAAGCTAAAATAGAACGTCATCCATCGGTAAAGGGTTTGTGTTGTGGTGCAAGCCTGAAAAATAGAACGAATTATAATGAGCAGAGGGTGTTAAAACCTTTACTATAGCCACCCTTGAGTGGCTCATAACTGGATTTATTAGCGCTGACTAGGCGAATATGGAGGAAGAAAGTATGAGAAGTTCTTGAGAAAATCTATACATCAGCGTTTTTGAATTTCGTATATGGAGAGTTTCAAGTTTTATAGGAATTTAAAACTGTGTCTTCAAATTTAAGTTTAATTTTCAATTTTATAAATTTTATATACTCAAGGATTAAACATTAAATGAAAACATCATACCTTCAAATGAAAAAAAAAATGGTGTGAACGTCAGGTCCCTGGTACGTACAAGTACGTACAGGTATGTACTATGTACGTACTAGAGACGTACATTTTCCAACGCTTTGTACGTCCCCGGTACGTCCCTGGGATGTGGTAAAGTACGTACTATGTACGTCACATGTACGTACATTCCAGGACGTACATTTTATGTTTTGTTCCGGACCAAAACTGGATGTAAAATGATCGAAATTTTTTAATGACGTACATTTTTTTTACATTTACGTATACGACCTAGGAATTTAATTAGAAATAATTCAATGGAACTCAGCTTAAAATATTTATTAATTAAGGCGACCGTAGATTTCGCCTAAGCCCCGCCTTAATACGATACAACTCCGACTTACGTCGCGTCGCTACCGCACGATTAGCTAGACAGAGACAGAAGGTGTCGTACGTCGTGCATCGACTCTGATAGTAGGCGATGTAGAAATAGCCGAACAAAGGCACTCCAACGGTCAAAATTATTTTGTTTTCTAAGCGGCACACTCAGCGTACGCCAGCGGTAGTGAATAATGTTAATATCATAGATTTAGGAAGAACAGATATCACATTGTGCATTTTAACCCAATCAAACAATCGGAGGTTGACTACGTACTGTAAAAACCAACTGAGATAGAGAAGGCGACATTGCCACATCTCAAATTTGCACCTATCTACTTAGTTTGATTTGCAGAAAAGGTGACTTTAAAACCTTCACCGGATATCAATAAATCTCAATTTCTTAATTAAATTAATAGTTTATTTTTAAAGAGGCATGCGTAATAATACGTTATTAACCAGAGGATATATGCCTTACTATTAAAGGACATGTTTACTGTTTAATGTGCTGAAACGTCTAGAACTATTGGCAACGTCGCTGCTAGTCTTCCAGAATGAAAATAAGCCGTCCGTCCCACCACCCCTCGCGACGGCCCTTGGTCCGTTATAGCGTACTACGTTAAACTTACGGTGTGTTTGAAATCGGAATCAAGTCCGAAGTGAACTTTTCAGTGTTTTTCAGTAGTTTTTGTTTTTGTTTGACGTACTTTTGAATCTGCGAATTTTCACTATGGTACGACAGTGTCAAGTGTGTGGAAAAATAAGCTCAAATTACCCGAATTTGTCATTTCACAGGTAGGTACAAATTTCCGCCGTAATTGATCATAGGCGTCCCACAAGGGAGCCCCTTACATTTAAAATAGTTTCTAATTATATTTGTTGAATTTTGATCTATTAAAACAAGAAGTAGTAGCCGGTAATTGAATTATAATTCGTCTCAATTACTACTTAACTGTTTTAGATCATAACAAATTTGAATATAAACGTTGCATTTGAAACTTTATTATAAGCCAGAAAGTGACATTTTTTTTCTTAAAATTGCGTCATATTTTGGTCATTATAATGTAATACGATATTCTAAAGAAATTTTGCTCAACAAATAAACAAAGGTGTTTACCCGACCTTTTTTACATTTTACTGCTTTATTATATCTGCCCCTTCGGCCTTGTTTAGATAATTTTTTACTACCGTACAAATACCTCTTCCTAGAGTTATTTGTACGGTGTGTTTACCTTTTTTTAGAATGGGACGAACTGTACTTCTCTTCTAACCTCTTTGCTGTACTTAAATAATTTTTGGGCTATTAGTTTTATACATACCTATATACAGAGTGACCCAGGCCTCCAAAAAAGCTTTTTACCTATTACGTTTTTGGTTTGTGATTTTTATTTCAATTTTACATAAGATGGGGGCCATTGTAACACATATTTTCAAAATATTTTTGTCAACATACAGGGTTATTCAAACCGCAATACATATGCTTAATACAGTTCATGAAGATTGAGACATTTAACTAAAATTTGATTGTCTGATGAAGCTACCTTTAAAAGTAATAGGTTTGTAAATAAACGTAATATTCATTATTATGCGACAGAAATCCCATACTGTAGCACACACATTTGATACTTTTAATGATAAATGCCTTCTATTGAGAGACTAAAAGGTAATTGCCTCGTATCAGAGCCATCATAATACAAGAAGAAGACCGAAAGTCAAATCTTGTCTTATATTTTCAAAAAAACACAATTTTCTCATTAAATATTGATTTTAGGTATAGGAAGTTATTAATAATACACGATTAAACAACTATTACACAGTACTTCAGAGGAAGCTATCGATTGCGAACTAACTAAATCGCTACTAATTACTAATTTTGAAAAGTTCTTTTTAAGATCAAAAAAGGTAAAACTAAAACCTAAACTATCATTTGAGATTAAACGGTAAGTTCTAAATAATGCTGAGTATTCTAAACAAGAAAAATTTATTTGTAAGTTTTATAACAACTCTAATTAAATTTGGACGAAAAGTATATTTCTGTTTGCTGTAGGTAATTTTCTCAGGGAAGTCAAAAAAATCAAAATGACAAGTTATTCCAAAAGGGGACTGTCCTTTTCAAAAAAGGACAGGTGGCAACCTTAGGTATTTCTGGAATGGAAATTTAATGGCAAATCTACAACTTTAGTTTGAAAATATGTTCTGGCCACCTATGTCTACAAAAATGTCTAAAATGTGCTTTACCATTGCCTCCATATTCTGAAAAAAAATTGAAAGAAAAGTCACTAACCACAAACCTAATATAGAACTGTTTCAGAAACTTTAGTCACTCTGTAAATATTCAAAAGTAACTGAAAGTTTATATAGAAGTAACTGAAAGTTTAAAATGAAAATAGAAGTTGGAGCGATTTTCGAAAACTACCTACTAACGTTTCAACATAAGTATATATGGAATATTAATTATATTATTATACTAGACCTTATAACAAAACTCATCTGACGAAAAAGTGTTAATGTAGTATATTAATATGGAGTAAAAATTTTACTAATTACTTTACTTTTACTTTACTAATTAAATTCCTTCCAAAAAACGATACGCCACTGGCCATTAGAACAATCCAAATGCGCCTAGTTGCCGGGGTCGGAAATTTTAGACTTCTCTGTCTCTTCTGTCCTTGTTTGGCACATTGGAACACTTCCAACGAGTATTTATGAATGAGATGTTTGGTCTATCTTTATAATGTCTTTGGTTAATATACAAGACCACAAATATTAAAATAGTATTGATTATTAAAACACACTTCCGTGTATTAACAGTATTTTTATATATTGGCAACATTAATAGTAAATAATGTAATGTAATAAATCGCTTAAATTCTGCCAAAATCTTAGGGTGGGCGCCGCCGCCGCCTACCTTGCCTACCCTGACGAGCCGCCACTGCTTCAAATCCTCCAATTTAATAGCTATTAGTAAGAAGTTTCACATCAAATATGCGCACATAGCGCACGCACAATTTTTTTTATTCAAATTATTTCTTAAAAGGGCCTTATGTCGCTAAGCTACGAAGTATTGCACTTAGCCTAGCGACATACTTCTGAAAGCACTCTTTCTATGCCACCTGTTTCTATACCTTGTCCGGCCGATTCTAGCGTCGCGGCGCTGGGTCGACGGACCCGTGGCGACCTCTGTTGGCGTTCCTACGTCACGACGGACGCCCAGTGCCACCGTCGTCGGCGTCGGCATGGGCTGCGGCAAACGCCTCCTTCCCGCGCTGTGTCGTGTCAAGTTTACGAATTGCCCTTCGCTTTTCTATATCCTATAATTACTTACTAAATCATATTATGTATTTACTGTAAAAC